CGGGAGCCCCCGGGCGCTCCCAGATCAGGAGAAAACCAAAATACAGTGTAATAGTAACGAATCTAGCCTGGATTATATTGTTCTTTACATCAACGCAATCGAGTATCCTAAGTATGTGTCATGGAGGAAGGCCTCACGCAGGTCCTAACTTGGACGGAGCCTGGATCCTGGCCCTCGGCTAGCTTCGGAGCTGCGGGAAATCACACCCTCCCTCAGAGGAGGGCGCTAGAGGCAAAGTTAGAACAAAGCTTAGTCTCCCTGAGTCCTAGAAATTGAAAGGGGAAAGACGGCTTGTTTCCTCTCAAATTGGTCTTTCGGGAATGCATCCCGCTAACTCATGTCACTGTGAGTGAAAGGGACAAGCCACAGGGATAGCTGCAGGAATTGCGATTTTATTACAAACAGAAACTACGGTTGCAATAATGAGATAGCATGAATGGAGAACAGCAGGCCCACGCAAAGTCAGATCTCCCTCTAGATCTGAAGGAGGGTTTTGTTTTGTTGGTTGGTTCGAACTGAGGACCTTGTGCTTGCTAGGCGGGCCACTGAGCTAAATCCCTGGCCCACATTTGATTTTTATATACTGATTTGTATCTTGCAACTTTCCTGAATCCATTGAATAGTTTTTTAGTGATTTCCTTGGGATTTTCTACATACATGATCCATGTCACATGGGAATATAGTTTTACTTCTTTTCCGGTCGAGGTGCTTTTTATTTCATTTTCTTTTTTGTTTTTTTCCCCGCAGGTATCAGGGATCGAACTCGGGCCCTTGAGCTTGCAAGGCAGGTGCCAGAACCACTGAGCTATATCCCCGGCCCTTAATTTCATTTTCTTGTCTAATTGTTCTGGCTAGAATCTCTGGGGCAATAATGAATAGAAACATCTTTCTTTTTCCAGAGTCTTAAAGTGCAAAGCTAGTTTATTGATCTGAGATCTTTTCTTCTTAGTGTTGGCCATCACTGCTTTACATTTTCAGGTAAACACTACTTTAGCCGTATTCCATAAATTTTTTTTGTGTTGTGGTACTTGGGATTGAAACTAAGCTACATCCCCAGACACACCCCCAAGATGTTTTTATTTTGAGACAGGGTCTCACTAAGTTGCTCATACCCCATCCCTGTCTCAGACATGTGGTCTTTCTGCCTCAGCCTCCTAAATACCCGAGGTTGCAGACCTGTGCCATTGTTCCAAGCTGTTTATGTTTTTCCCAGCTGTTTATTTATTTATTTTTTTTTTCCTTGGGTACCAGGGATTGAACTCAGGTCCTTGCATTTGCAAGACAGTTGGTGGAACCACTGAGCTAAATTCCTGGCCCTCCCAGCTGTTTGTTTGTTTGTTTATTTTGAGATAGGGTCTCACTATGTAGTTGAGACTGACCTGGATCTCACTATGTAGCCCAGGCTGGTCTGGAACTCACAGTGATCCTCCTGCCTCAGTGCTAGGATTAGGTGTTTGCCACCATGCCTGGCTT